CATGTACTCAAAATACGGATGTTAGTGTTGTGTCGAACCCTCAGTCGCAGATCTAAAAAAACAATCTCAAAAATATAACATGATACACATAACTGCGGTTCGTCGTATAGGTATGTGCTGAAATATCTGCAATTCTCGCCAGTGCCCTAGGAACTCCCGCAAGGACAGGTATTTCCAGATCCGCTACTCAACCCGATTCCTGTCCCGCCCCGTAACCCGCCCTCTTCCGAGGCCTGAAGGATGATGTTACCTTTGAGGGATTCGGTGTCCTCGGGAGGACGGCTCACGTGGCAGGCGTGGATGGAGAGGACCGGAGGGCGCGGCGGAAACAAGGGCGCGGCGGCCTTTGTGCGAATTCAGGAGAAAACGTGCGACTGCGCCAGCGGTCGTCAAGGAGCACTGCCCTCGAGTGATAAAACGAAGTTTGATATAATCGATCTAGTACTATAGAGAGCGATACCTGCAGAATCTGTTTGGCAATATTGATAACTATTTTTTTAATCGTCTGGCCCCATCTAATCCCAAAAATGACATTTTATGTCATAGAGAAATGAAGTTTGATGTTAAAGTTCGGTTTTGAAAGCAACCGGGGGAAAAAAGCTTCACTCCTACCAGTCAACAACTGCCTGGTTTTGTCTGATATTTATTAATATCTTTTCGCAAACCGAATTTTATACAGACACCCTGTAAAGCCACGGAACAGCAGAGTGTGTTTTCTAGAAATCATTCCACAATCATTTCTTACTAGTTTTTCACCTTACAATGCCAGTGAGATGCATATCCCAACGCCCACGATGTCAGGAGCAGCGAATAATTGGCCGCGAGCAACGCCCGGCCAGCTGATCCGGCCGCCCGCGGTGTAAGAGGACACGGCGCTTCACTCCGGCCGTGCGGTCGCGGACTTCTCCTTCGATCAAGTGTCCCGCCATTTATGATGCATGAGTCATTATGTCACTAAAGCGAGTGTGTAACTCTGCTTGGCGCGCCGTGACTCTCGGCAGGCTGATTATCGTCAATTTAAAGCAACGGCCAGTCAGGGCTCGCAGAAATACCAAGCCTCGTTCTTTCTTAATGATTCTTTCACATGTTCTGTCAACGCTGTCTGCCATTTAACACGCATGGTTAGCGTGACTGAACTCTTTGCAAATGCCAATATTCTCTACACGTTCTGGCACTACCGTGTGTTCTGCCATTGCACAGATATTGCCCAATTGATTCACTCACCTCTTCCAGATAACTCGCGAGGGAGTTTGTGATAAGCCTTATCAAGATAAAGTTATCTCTCGTTATTGTATATGACGTGTCAGTTAACACTATCGACGAGGTGACAAAATACGCCCTTTGCCATTACGTTTTATTATAATACTAGCAAATGGTAAAGAAGTCGACAAGTAAAAAACTAAAAAATTAATGTTCAAAATCTGTTTCATCTACAAGGAGATGAACGATTTACAAGGATTAATCTAATCTGAAATATTCCATCCCTTGAAAAAGTCTGGACTCTGTTTCACGCCTCGAGCGCTTAGTAAACGAGCGGGAAAGGTCAGTCTCCTGTATCTGTTTATCCTCCCAGCCACTTTGATCTCATGACGGTTTAAAAAAAATCACGAAAGTAAATGGAAGAATGATAGCGTGAATAGCATCCAAAATATGAAGACAATGAGAGGGAAACAAACACGCATTTTCTAAATTAATATCAAATTTTCCAAGCGAATTCTAACTGTAGATCTTATTTGTAGCAAAACTACAACCAAACCCGTCGAAAAAGGGGAATGAACACGCCACAACCTAATGGCAGGCTTTTACACCGCGCCCAAAATGCTCTCGTCACTTCACCAACATAATGAGTGACGCCCATTCCACTCAGCACATCCAGGCTGAACCAACGCCCGGAATTCAGTCAGTCATATGGCGAGAGAGAGAGAGAGAGAGTAAGAGACAGAAGAGGGAGATGAGGGAAAGAAACTGAGAGAGAGGAGAGAGAGAGAGAGAGAGAGAGAGAGAGAGAGAGAGGAGAGAGAGAGAGAGAGAGAGAGAGAGAGAGAGAGAGAGAGAGAGAGAGAGGAGAGAGAGAGGAAAGAGGAGCAGAAAGAAGAGAAGGAGTAGGAAGAGGAGAGGGAGAAAAAGAAGGGAGAATAAGGTGTTGGGAGGAGGAGGAGGAGAGAGAGCGATGGGAGTGAAGAAGAAGAAAAGGAAAAAAAAGCAACGGGGAGGAGAAGGAGCAGAAGAAATCTCCAAGGCTGGCAGTTGTAGAAAGTCAATCATAGACATACGCAGGAAGTACAAGATAAAGCCTCCAAAGGCCACCAAAGCGGCCGTGGTGTGGCTCATCCCGCGGCCAAGGCCAAGGCCGCGGGAGCCTCTGATGCCATCTCTCCCGCCGAGGGCCAGGCGGGCTGGCGCTCGGCCGCCGCCGGCACCGCCCTCCCGACTGCAGGGGGCGGCGCGGGCTGAACGTAGCACTCCTGACACAACACTTACTGAAGGCTCTAACCTACTGTATATATCAACGGAGAATAGGGTTTCCAATCTACGCTACCTGTACACATGTTTCACTGAATACCAATATGTAATTGATAAGCCTTCATAGGCAACCGCCATTCCCTTATATATGTATCTGTTCTCAGCCATTCCGTTTACTACTTTCTAAATTTCATTTTACAAACTGTTGTATATATAATTATTTACTGTTGTTATGATTGCATCTCTATATACTGATCGCGTTCAACACGGAAGCTAGTCCTTTGCAAAAGAGAACGGCAGATTGACAGACCCACTCGGAAGCGCTTGAGTTGTATTTCGCATGGATAACAATCTATTGAAAAGAACAGGAACATGAAAGTTCTCTTTTGGATTCGGTTGAGTGTATGTGCTTAGAGTCAACGGAGACCGATCCAAGTCCACAGTCTTACTCTCAAACTACTTGATTATTATTTATTATTATTTCTCTTTCGCACATAAATTTATATTGCCTTTAATTCGAAAAAAAACCTAGAAGTTGGAACGAAAGGAAATCCAGTCAATGTGGATATATAACAAACACTTGCTAAGCCATCCAAATGCAGGTGGGACGCGGTTCCAGAGTGGGTTCCTACTCAGAGGAAATGGGTCTCCGCTCCGAGAGAGAAAACCGGGGAAGGTGTTGGGATCGCGAGTGCGAGGCATAGCAGTTGTGCTTCCCATTTGGTTTTGCTTTTCTTCAACTCAAGAGAAATATTGGGTGGATTCGATGCAGACATGTGCATGTATATGCCTATGTATGTATACATGCATATGCACACACACACACATACGCACATACACACACACAAATAAACAAACACAAATACACACGCGCAAACACACACACACACACACACCACACACACACACACACAACACTCACTCACACACACACACACACACTCACACACACACCACAACACACACACTCACACACACACACACACATACATATATACATATATATATATATATATATATATATATATATATATATATACATATACATATATTATCCATATACATAGACATATATATAAACAAATATATGTATATGTGTGTATACACACACACACACGCACACACACACACACACACACACACACACACACACACACACACACACACACACACACACACACACACACATATAATATATATATATATATATATAT